GGAGTAAGGGTTCTTATTCAAGTTTCAGATGAATAGCCTCCATTCTCTGGAACTGTGATCACCAAGAACCTGTATGAGTCTATCGAGAAAAAGTCATACCACATCCTCTTCCTTTCCTTTTTGGGCAGTCATTGGAGAGGAGGTATCAGTTAGATTTCAGCAAAGTATTTGACAAAGATCACACTGCTTTTGCGGGGGAAAGTCTAGCATCTGATAAAGTCTCTTCTACTACTCTTGTGGAAAATATGGAGACATGTGCACCAGAACCACAATCCCCAACCTTGGAGACAAACATCAACGCTATACTTCTCACATGTGCAGATGCATGAAAACTTCGAAGTGCTGGATGACAGGGATGATCTAAGATTTTGATAGGTTATAATATGAAACATCATATGTAAAGCTTTTATACTTATATTCAAAATCATCAAAATGAGAGAAGCATGGTATACACCACCCAGAGGTTTCCATGGGCTGCTAACTCAATGCATCAACATGGTGACCTGGCATCCCAAAACACCAGTGTGACTTCCAGCTGCATTACCTGAAGGGCTGTCAGTGTGGAAGCGGAATAGGCTTGCTTAGCCTCAGATGGGAGAATCAGGTCCCACTAGGGAAAGGGTGTTGAAAAGGTAGATTCAGGATTATTGGAAGGAAAAGCCTCCCTAAGTGAGGAAGTGCCTTAAGAAATGATGGGTTATCTCTCACTGAAAGTATTCAGGCCAAGGTTGATTATCATGCATTAGAGGATATATATCAGACCACAAGACCTCTGAGGTCACTTCCAACTGTAAGCTGGACTTTTATAAATGGAAAAAGCAGCACCTCAGTCTAAACATTCCAGACTATGCAAAAGGCCCACATTTGGGTTCAGCTTATTAGACTCTGTATTCTTTTGGGGGTGTGTGTGTGTGTGTGTGTGTGTGTGGAGGTGAGGGTGAGGCATATATGCTTCTATCCACCATACCACTTAGCTGCCTAGAAGTAACTCACCATCAGCCTTGAGGGAAAAGAAAACAATTGGGCCTGGGAGCGTAGAGTTTGAACATCAGGACCAGCTAAACTGTAATGCCCCAAAGCCTTTCAAATCTGGCTGGTAGTTTACTCACTTTCATAATGTATACCAGGATATATTTAGCATTTTTATTAGCTGATGTTGCTAACTAGGAAACATATTAAGTAGAAGCTATGACTTCAGGTATTAGCTTTTCACTGAAAAGTATATGCCTCAAGGCTATTTCCCTCCTCACCAGTGGTCAAGTTACTTAGACATAAAGAAAACTCCATTAGGGTACTGGGGTTCCTACTGGGATCATTTTCCTGCTTAGCTCTTTGTTACTTTGCTTTATATCTCTAGAGTGATGAGATTGCCATTTCCAAAACCTGATTTCATAGCTGATCCTCTTTATGCAATCACTGCCCTAGAACCCAGACACATCACTAATACACATCTGAGATGGCCCATTTTCTGCATGAAAAGGGAGTCCATTGGTAGTGTTGTAATCTCCACAATTGAACTGCCACCATCCATGAGAAGAATGGAGACCCAAGGCCCCTATAACTGGAGGACACCCAACTTTCAGACACAGACCAGAGAAGCCATGACCCCACCCCATTCCAATCTCCAGAATTCTCCAGGCCTCTGATGGCTGAAAAAAATACCCTTTAATAAACCTCATTAGGATACATATGCTCTATGCCAGGGCTTCTTAAACTTTTTCCACTCAGACCCCTTCAGCACTTCTTAAACTGTGAGTCATGACTCCATATGGGGTCGAGACCTGTAATTTAAGAAGTGCTACTCTAGGGGCAGGTAGGTGGCACAGTGGATAGAGCACTGGCCCAGCATTCAAGAGGACCCGAATTCAAATCCGGCCTCAGACACATAATACTAGCTGTGTGACCCTGGGCAAGTCACTAAACCCTATTGCTTAGCCAAAAAAAAAAAAGTGCTACTGTATGCAGTTTTCTTTCTCCATTGGTGTGGTGGTAAGCTTACCACAAAATCAGCCCTAATTCAGAAGAATAACTGCTGCTGAATGCGAAATGAGGGATGGGGGTTGAACTAACCCTAACCTTGAAGGGCCCTTCCAGATCAAGTTATGACCTAAGTAGCAGAATGTGACTATCTTTTCAATTAATCTTAGGAAATAATCTAGAATAAACATGGAGGGCTGGGACTCACACTAATCTTCCTACCCTTCCCACAAAAGTGATACTGATACTTGTGCACATGATAATGGATATGACGCCAGGCCAATAGACTGGCTAGAGAGAGACTGAAAACCATATCTCCAGATGCCTGGAGACATAAGAGGAATATGAAAAAATGTGGTATAAAAAAAGGAATCAATAAAACAAAAAAAGAAAATGCATGTTTTTCTTTTGGCACAGATCTATAATTTCACTAGCATTAGCACAGTCACTTCATTACTGTTGGGAAACCTCCCAGTGTAGAAATTGCCCCATCAGTGCAGACAGACAACTCATCTGTAACTCACAGAAGTGCAGTTACCTGGGGGTACTGAAGCTGTAAATGACCTGATGACAGATGAATGTTAGTCATGACATGGACTCAGATTATCCAGGCTTCAAGGCCAGCGGTTAAGCTACCATGTGATCACATGCCCTCCATTGCTTTTTCCTATGGACACAGCACCACGTCTAGGTGATGTCAAACAGAAGTGGTGACAATGGATATCCTTGTTTCACCCAATTTAATAGGAAAGGATTCTAGTTTATTCTATCACATGGAACAGTAGCTCTTGATTTGGGACGTAACTATTCATCACTTTAAGATAAAACCCACTTACTCCTGTTTTCTAGTGTTATCGGGTTTTTTGTTTCGTTTTGTTTTTTTTTTAAACCAAATGACTGTTGTATTGTGTCAAAACCTTTTCTGCTTCTATTGATACAATCTTATGATTTTTGGTGTTTTCGTTATTAATATGGTTAACTTCAACCTGGTCAAGTATTGTATAATCCTTGTGATGTGCTTTTACCCTCTTTGCCAATGTTTCAGTTTGGTCTTTTCAAAAAAAATTCTCCCTAGTTTGTGCATCAAGATAATGTCTGTGTCATAGAAGATATTTGCATTTTCTTCCTAAGCTTGCAAAATACTGAAATTAATTGTTCTTTGAATATTTAATAGAATTCAGGAAAGGAAATAGCTCATCTACGTGCCAGGCACTGTGCAAAAGTACTTTTTACAATTATTATTTTATTTGCTCTTCCCAACAGTACTACAAGATGGATACTATTATTCCCATTTTACAGTTGAGGAAACTGAGGCAAACAGAGGTTAAGTGACTTGCCCAGGGTCACACAGCTAGTAAGTGTCTGAGGCCAGATACGAAGTCAAGTCTTTTTGACTTTAGGCCCAGCACTCTATCCACTGTGCTTAAGAAATGCTTATAAAAAAATGTGGAGTTTAATGTTTTGGTGGCCTAGTGTTTGATAAAAAACAAAAACCTAATGAGGTAAGAATTATTTGATAAAACTGCAGGGAAAATTGGACAGCAGTATGGAAGACATTAGGATTTGGACCAACCGGTCATATTTTATACCAAGATAAACTCCAAATAGTACATGACTTAGCTATAAAAGGTCACACCAGGGGGGAGCTAGGTGGCACAATGCATACAGCACTGGCCCTGAAGTCAGGAGGACCCGAGTTCAAATCTGGCCTCAGAACAAACACTTAACATTTACTAGCTGTGTGACCCTGGGCAAGTCATTTAACCTCAATTGCCTAAAAGCAAAAAAAAAAAAATTAAAAAAAAAAAAGGTCACACCATAAATAGATAAATTTGGAAAAATCAACCAATCAGATCAATAGATAGAAAAAAAGTTCATGGCCAAGCATGGGATAGAGAGGATCATAGGAGACAAAATGGATGATTTGGATAACAAAAATTTTTTTGCACAAATCCAACAAAGCTAAAATGAACAGGAAAACAACCAAGAGAGGGAAAAAAAAACTTCATAGCAAGTTACTGTTAATAAAGGTCTCATTTCCAAGTTGATGATGATCTGATTCAAATTCATAAGAGTAAGAACATTCCTCAAATGATATATGACCTAAGGATATGAATAGGCAGTTCTCAGGAGAACTAGAGCCATATAAAAAAATAATGCAAATCACTAGTGATTGAAGAAATACAAATTAAAGCAATTCTGAGGTTTTACCTGACACCTATCAGATAGACAAAGATGACAAAAAAGGAAAACAACAAATGTTGGAAGTGCTGTGGGCAAACAGGTATACTGATTCTCTCTTGGTAGATCAGTGAACGGGTCCAACATCTCTAGAAAGTAATTCAGAATTACACCTCAAAACACCCATGACAGCCTTTGACTCAGCTATACCATCAGCCTATGCCCAAGAGACCAAAGAAAGAGGAAAAGGGTCTTTGTGTAGAAAAATATTTGTAGCAGCTTTCTGTGGTGGCAAAAAAAACAAAACCTGGAAACTACAGGGACGCCCATCAACTGGAGAACAGCTGAATAAACTGTGGCATATAAATGGGATGGAATTCTATTATGCTGTTAAGAAATGAGGAAAAAATGATTTCAGAGACAAAGAAAGCCTTATATGAACTGATGCAAAGCAGAGTGAGCAGTTATAATAATTTATACAGTAACATCAATGCTATAAAAGGATAATTTTGAAGACTTTCATAAAGTGATGAAGAATGAAATCAGCAAAACTAGGACAAATTTCTATAACAATATTGCGAAGACAAACAACTTTGAAAGCAGTAAGAACTATGATCTATCCAAGGCCTACCTGTGATTGCAGTGGACTGATGATGAAGCATGCTATCCACTGTGGATCAGAGAGGGAATGGATTCAGGGTGCAGAATGAGGCATTTATTTTTTAACACAATCAATGAGGGAATCTGTTTTGTTTGATTTTGCATATCTGTTTCAAGGAATTTTTTTTCTTTTTTCCCCTGATGAAGCGAGGGGTATGAGAGGGAAAGAAAACAGATTTCTGTTAATTAAAAAAATAAAACTTTAATTTAAAAAACAAAAGACTTTACCTCATTCGGTAAACTTATGGAATTTTTTTCACCAGTATAAATTCTCTGATGTACAGTAGGACATCACCTTGGGAAAAAGGCTCTCCCACAGTCTTGGCTTTTCTGTAGTTTCTCACCAGGGATAAAAAATAACAGTTCAGTTATATAACGCTCTAAGGATTGCAAAGTGCTTTAAGTACATGATCTCATTTTAACCTCACCACAATCTAGTGAGGTAGGTGCGATCATCTCCATTTGACAGATTTGGAAACTGGGCCCAAAGAGATTCGATTTGCTCAGGGTCACATGGCTAGAAAGTGTCAAGAGAGAGGATCTGAACTGAAGCCTTCCTGACTCCAAGTCCAGTACTCACATCAGGCTGCCTCCAACTGTGAGGTCTCTGAAAACAAGTTAATCAAGAACCAGGACAAAAGCTTTCACATTCAATAGTCAAAGGCTTTTTCTTCAGCATTAATCCCTTCTAAATTTTCCCCTCTGGCTAAAGGCTTTTGTTCATTCATTTCACTAGTAGGCTTTCTCTCCATTATGAATTCTTTGATGTTTAATAAATGATGACCTGTGGGTAAAGCTTTTCCCACATTTAAGACATTCAAAAGGTTTCTCTCCAGTATGAATTATTTGATGTTTAATAAGTGATGGTCTATGACTAAAGTTTTTTCCACATACACTACACTCAAAGGGCTTCTCTCCAGTATGAATTCTCTGATGTGAAATAAGGGAGGTCCTGTAGCTAAATCCTTTTCCACAATCATTACACAAAAATGGTTTCTCTCCAGTGTGAGTTTTCTGATGTACTGTAAGGTGTGAGTTCTGGCTAAACGTCTTTCCACATTCTTTACACTGATAGGGTTTCTCTCCGGTATGAGTTCTCTCATGGGCAGTAAGGTGTTCCTTTCGGCTGAAGGCCTTCCCACAGTCACTGCACTCAAAGGGTTTCTCTCCAGTGTGAATTCTTTTATGTGTATTGAGCTGTCCTCTCCCAATGAAAGCTTTTCCACATTCATTACAATGATAAGGTTTTTCTCCAGTGTGAATTCTCTGATGGAGAGAAAGGTATGATTTCTGCCTAAAACCTTTCCCACATTCATCACAATGATAAAGATTCTCTCTAGTATTTACTGACTCATTTGCACCCAGGATTCCCAACTGGTTGGCTGTCTTCTTATTTTCATTAGGCTTGCGAGGTTTCTCTCCAGTATGAATTCTCTGATGCCTCATAAGATGTGCACTCTGGTTGAAGGCTCTCCCACATTCACTGCATTTATAGGGCTTCTCTCCAGTATGAATTCTCTGATGCGCTGTGAGGCTTGCCTTGTGCATGAAAGCTTTACCACATTCATTACATTCATGAGGTTTCACTCCAGTATGAAATCTCTGATGTACTGTAAGTCGTGCATTATTGATGAAGGCTTTCCCACACTGATAACATTCAAAAGGTTTTTCTCCAGTATGAATTCTCATATGTTCAATAAGATTAGCTCTTTGACTGAAAGCTTTACCACATTCCTTACAGTTATATGGTTTATTTCCAGAATGAACTCTTTGATGATAGGTAAAGGATGCCCTGTGCCTAAAGTCTTTTCCACAGTCATTACATTTGTAGGGTTTCTCTCCAGTATGAATTCTTTGATGTAAAGTAAGGCAAGAATTGTTGCTGAAAGTTTTCCCACATTCATTACATTCAAAGGGCTTCTCTCCAGTATGAATTCTCCTGTGTGCAGTAAGGTTTTCCTTTCGTCTAAATGCTTTCCCACATTCATTACAATGAAAAGGTTTTTCCCCAGTGTGCATTCTCTGATGACAAACAAAGGATGCCCTGTGTCGAAAGGCTTTCCCACATTCTTTACATTGATATGGTTTCTTTCCTGTGTGAATTCTCTGATGATGAATCATGTTTTGCCGCCCACTAAAGGCTTTCCCACATTCGTTGCATACATAAGGTTTCTCCCCAGTATGAATTCTCTGATGCAGCGTAAGACAGGAATTGTTGCCAAAGGCTTTCCCACATTCATTACATTCAAAGGGCTTCTCTCCAGTGTGAATTCTATGATGCCTGATAAGGGTTCCCCTCTGGCTGAAGGTTTTCTTACATTCATTACACTGAAAAGGCTTCTCTCCGGTATGGATTCTCAGATGATCAATAAGGCTTCCCCACTGACTAAAGGCTTTTCCACATTCATTACATATATAACGTTTCTCTCGATTACGAATTTTCTTCCGTTGAGTACGGTATGGTCTTTTGCTGAAGGCTTTCCCATGTTCGTTACGCTCATACAGCTTTTCTCCAGTATGCTGTCTACGAAACTGAATGAGATCAGAGTGATAACTAAAGGACTTTCCACATTTATTGTACTTACAAAGCATTTTCCCAAGGGGGATTCTATTATATTTAAATAGTTCTGAAAACTGTTTTATGCCCTTTGTAACTGCATGACTTTGGAGACTTTTTTCTGTGGGAGTTCTCTGTGTAGTAACAAAGACGGACTCCAGATTCAAACTTCTTCCAAATGTTTCACCTTCAGGCTTTCCATTTGTGCCCGTTACTTGTCTGGCGTGTCTCTCCGGGCTGCACTGCTGTCTTCCTAGCCTGCCATCACACCCCCAAGTTTCTCCTGCCTTGGAATACCAACTCTTTGCCAGTCTTTCCTTAGACGGTGCTCCTATAACAACATCCTGCTTGGAAGTCATGCTGTTGCTGTCACAGCTAGTCTCCTGACGATGGGAACCTGGAAAAAACCAGACATTATCAATCACCCCTGTTTTTTTGGGCTGTGCAAACAAAAATAAGGCCTAGATTCTGTTTTCACAAGATTAAGGAAAAAACAAAGTGATCTGTAAACAACTGCTAAGGGGAGAAATTGAGGAGGAAGACGGATGTGCTAAGTGGGGTAGCCTAAGACTCTGGGATCAGACACCAAGGCTTTCAGAAATCAAGATCTAGGCAGACTTGCTGAGGGCCCAAAAGACAACCAAGTGTGTGCTAACTATACATAATATACTTCAACCCAATGTGTTTCCCTTATTTTAGAAATTGGTAATTAATGCTGAAATGTCACAAAACTGTGCATTACCAACCTGTATCTGAATAACTGCTGAATCTTGTTAAGATTTTGCCTCTTATAAAATGTTAATTAGATCCATCATTTATTACTGAACTAGCTGTCAGTGAGTCACTTCTTTTTACACTCTGAATGCTTGATGCAAAGAACTATAAGCCAGAGCTCTTGATGAAGAAAGAGACACTCTGTCCAATAAGCTCCCCAAGTACCTGCTTGTACTCAGCCAATAAAGGTTAACTGCAACATCTTCTAATCCAAAATCAGAGTGGGACTCAATTTCGACTACAAACGAGTTCTGAATGAAGAGGCTAAGGCCAAGCCAATTCTATTCCAGGGTACTGAAAGCACTTTTGAGACATCCTCTGAGAACCACTGTTGATCATCTTTGGGAAAATGCCTAATGTTCAGGAAAGGAACAGATTGGCAAAGACTCTTGCATGACAAAATTCAGAACCACATCAGAGAGTGTGGGCACACCGAAAAAGAGTTGATCCCGAAGACCCACTATCAGTTCAGAAAGGACAAATCATGTACAACTCACCTCATTTTCTTTCCTGATAAAGATGGTCAAATGGCTGGGGAAGGGATGCTGCAGATATTGGGTATTTAGAGTTAAGCAAGGCATTTCACAAAGTCTGCCACATTATCTCCAAACGAAATGGTGAAGGAGGGTCTGGGTGACAGACAAACTTTATCAGGCTGGATAACTGACAGTGAAGGGATAAGTGAAGGGATAAATGACAACGTGCTGAGTAGTCTTAAGTCTCACACTACAGACAGAAAAGGTAGCAAAGGAGAGTAGAAATAATGCTGGCCTTGGACTCGGGAGTTTTTCTTGACTCCAAAATCAGATACTTTGGGGAAGACAGGAGGAATGAGGTTGCAAGGTAACCTATTTCCTTAATAACCACCTCAAAAGAGCAAAATTACCTTAATTACATTAAACTAAAAGAATTTTGTACAAACAAAACCAATGCAAGCCAGATTAGAAGGAAAGCAGAAAGCTAGGAAACAATTTTTACAAGTATCTTTGATAAAGGCCTCATTTCTCAAACATACAGAGAACTCAGTCAAATTTCTAAGAATACAAGTCATTCCTCAATTGATAAAATGGTCAAAGGATAGGAACAGGTAGTTTTCAGATGAAGAAATCAAAGCTATCTACAATCACATAAAAAATCCTCTACATCTCTATTAATTATATAAATGCAAATTAAAACAACTTTGAAGTACTACCTCATATCTATCAGATTGGTTAATGTGATAGAAAAGGAAAATAATACAGGTATCCCTTCCACATCGCAATTTTCCCCATCAAGGTTTTAATATATTGCAGGCTAGCATAAGAAACTGAATGGGTATTTTTTGGAAGTTCATGGAAGCTGCAGATGACACGCAAATGCTGGTAGATGACACAGAGAAAAAGTTTAGGAACTCAGAAATGCACAAAACATATGTACAGTACTGTATAAGATCAACATATTTTATCTTTTAATCCCATAATAACTCAGACTTTTTCTCTGGGACAAAGGGAGAGTCAAAAAAATTCTACACGGATTTTCCAGATCCCAGGGGCTCCATGCCCCTAATTCCCACAATGTAGAAGGGATGACTATAAATGTTGGAGAACATGTGGGAAAACTGGGATACTAACACACTTTGTTGGTGGAGTTAAGAACTGATCCAACCATTCTGAAGAGCCAGCTGGAGCTATGCCCAAAGGCAATCAGCCAGCAATACCGCTTCTAGGTCTGTCTCCCAAGCAGATCATAAGAAAGGGAAAAGGGCGCACAAGGACAAAAGTATTTACAGCAGCTCTTTCTGTGATGGCTGAGAATTGGAAATCAAAGGGATGCCCATCCACTGGGGAATGGCTGAACAAGCTGTGGTAGATAACTGTAATGCAATATTACTGTACTCTAAGAAATGACAATCAGGATGATTTCAGACAAACCTGGAAAGACTCACATGAACTGATGCTGAGAGAAATGAGCAGAACCAGGAGAACACTGTACACAGTAACAGCAACACCGTGCAATGATCAACTATGATTGACTTGGCTCTTCTCAGCAATGCAAGGATCTAAGACAATTCCAAAAAACTCATGATCGAAAATGCTATCCACATCCAGAGAAAGAACTGATGGAGTCTGAATGCTGATGGAAGCATACTATTTTCTCTTTATTTTTTTCTTGGTTTTTTCCTTTTGTAAATTCTATTTTTTTTTTTGGCAAACTGTTTCTTCTTTTACAACATGACTAATACGGAAATAAGTTTTATATGACTGCACATATATAACCTAGATCAAATTGCTTACCATCTTAGGGAGGGGAGAGGGAAGGAAGAAGGAAGAAAATATGGAACTCAAAATTTTATAAAAAATGAATGTTAAAAAAAGAGCAATATAAAAAAAAGAGCAATATTACCTTCAAACACTTGGTTTATTTTTTAAAATGAAGAAACAAAGTCTGACTCAATTTTTAAAAGGTAAGGATCAATGAAGCTGAGGAAAAAATGCCAAAAGGAAAACATACTGGTACATCAGTGGTAATACCAGAAACAAAGTTACAATTTTCTCAAAACACAACAAAAATGCGCTTCTGGCATAGTTGTAAGAATTGGTTCAGCTATTATGAAAACCAATTTGGAATTAGATCCCAAAAGTCACTAAACTGGGAAAACTCTTGGATCCACTGATACCATTACTGTGCTCCAAAGAGATCAGAGAAACAGGAAAAGGAAACATATGTACAAAATTCATAGCAGCTCTTTTTATATTGGCAAAGAACTGGAATCTAAGGTGATACCTAGCAATACGGGCTGAAAAAAATTATCTCATGTAAATGAATGAAATATTGATGTTACTCTACAAGAAATGGTGGAGGAAAGAGACAGTTTCAGAGAAATCTAGGAAGACTAGTACAAAACGAATCCAAAGAAGTGAGCCAAAAGAGGATAAGAGTTATCCAGTAACAACAACACTGTAAAGACAAACAACTGGGAAAGGTTTAAGAAATCTGATCGTGGCAATGGCCAACTGCGATCAGAAAGGACAGAAGAAGCCACGCTGCTGCCACCTGCAGGCCAAGGGGCCAGGCTTGAAGAGCACAGACAAGGTGAAAATGTGTTCTGCTTAACTGTGCGTTACAAGGGTTTAATTTTTCCTAATTTTTTTTCATTTATGGCTTATGAAAAGTGGGAAGGAGAGAAAAGATATGCTTTTTAATTGAAAAGAGCTAAATTAAAAAACAAACCCCACAATAAAATGGTAAATAAACCCAATGAAAAAGTATTCTTTCTATACCAGATCTGTGATTTCATTAGAGTAGGGAACTCCTCATGAAGAACTCTTTTATTGATGCAGATAAAACTTTCTCTTCATTGTCAAGTCTTAGGAAATGGCTACTTGGGGCATGCTCTGAGAAATTCAATGATTCGCCCGGGACCCAAGAGACAGAATGCAGCAGAGGCAGAATCTGAACCCAGGTCTTCCTGAGTCCAAGGCCAAATCTCTATTCACTAAATCATGCCTCTTACAGAAGGAATCGTGTGACTACAAAATCTTAGGACAAGATGAAGATGGAAGTAATAGTTAAAAATAGCCACAGAAAACATAAACAAAATATCAGACAACGAAGAAACAGTTTGCAAAAAAAAAAATAGAATTTACATGAAAAAAATAAAATGAAAGTAGTATGCTTCAATCAGCATTCAGACTCCAACATTTCTTTCTCTGGATGTGGACAGCATTTTCCATCACATCAGATACAAAAATGGCAAAAGCGAGAGGAAAAATAAAACCCCCACAAGAAATGGAAAAATGAGCTCAAAAATGATTCACTTGGAAAACTACTGGAAATCTAAGACAAAATGATGGTTCAGAAGGTGGCAACAATGAGAAAAATTTAAGAATGTCCAAGAATTCAAAACCAAAGAGTTAAGACGACTAGCTCCAGCAAGCTAAACCTTACCCAGCATAATGATGTGGCAGAAGGAAGACACACCACAAAACAGCCAGCATTTCTCTCTCTCTCCCCCTCCCCTCCTTTTGGTCTCTCTCCCTCCTTCCTGTTGTGTGTGTACATGCCACTTCACAGAATTACACAAAGTGAGGACATAAACTCATGTGAAGACTAGACAGACATCAACACCCAAGAATTATTAAGAAACAAAAAGGATTAAGTGACACTTGCATTGCTACTTCTCAAATTGTCGGCTAAAGCAGCAATAACTAAAATCTGGTCCTGGGTGAAAAAACAGAAAAACAGAATAGGACAAATTCCAGAATTACAACCGAGGTCACAAAATAGAATAATAAGATTTGGCTAAATCGAAGCTGACCAAACAATGGGGAGGAGAATGACTCTTCAATAAAACCTTTTTATCAGTGTTTTCCAGGTGATAAAAAAGCTGGGAGATCCTTGAATTGATGGACGGCCCAGGCAAGAGCCAAAGAAATCCTGAAATGTTCAAATGGGCCAATCTGATAAAGAAAACGAAAAACCCTCTCCTTGAGCAGTTCAGCTGAAAAAGGCCCGAGGACCTTAGTGGACATCATGCTTGGTAAGTGACTCCACGGTCACCCTGAGAGGCCCCCGGCGAGACGCAGATCCCACTCTATGCTGGCCTAGATGACCACACTGGGACACTATGATGTACCGGAAAGCAGTCAGGGGAAGGTGACTAGGGAAACAAAGGATGACAAGATTTTACCATACGAAGATCAGGTGATGAAGGAAATAGGGATGTCAAAAGGTTTTTTGCTCTAAAAAGTTCAAATTTAGGGGTGGATATTCTATCCGAATTCAGATGGCTGAAGGGCCAGACTTGCTCTGTATAGCCCCAGAGCACAGAAGAAGCAAAGATGGACCAAGTCCCAGAGGCAGATTTTGGATCACAGAAGGAAGCAGAACGTGAAGCCTTCAGACAGGTGGTTTCCCTTTCACTTGCTGGGGACACTGCCCCAAGGGATTATGGCCCAGGATGACATGGACAGGACGGTTTTTGAACTCTATATCAACTGTGAGACCTTGGTAGGGAAACACAGATTGCAGTGTGGCCAAAAGTACGCAATCACATCCATCTCACAAATTCCAAATCAAGGATCTGAAACAGTTTCCATTTTAAAGACACTTGTAGGATCTACTTAGGATAATTGTAGAGGCAAAAATTCTCACCTATCACACAAGTAGGAATCAATGGGGACAAGATAGCTGGCCCTGAACCGACAAAGAAGAAAGTTTGCCACCACCACAGGCAAGACTTCCAAAGTAAACAGGGCAGTGCAGCTTGTAAATAAAAATGGTTCTGATGAAAATCTGCAGTCCTCAAGGTACAAATGGCAAGCATCCTACTGACTGGCACTTCTCCAAAGCAGAATGTTCCTGAGCACTTGCACAGAAGCCTCGCAGGCCCCCTAACTCTGCTGCTGCTGCTGTCACCATTAGGTCACTCCCCGGGCCTCCCTTCTCCTCACTCACCTGGACAAGTGGTCCTGGAGGCTCCTCGCCGGGGCACCCAGGGGGTTTCTCCCCTCTCGAGGCGGCAGATCACCTCGGGTTTGGAAAGCGAAGTCCTGCTCAGGCAGAGAAACAGAAAAGCAGATGAAGCAGGCCCAGAGGGTGGTAGAAAGGTTCTCTGAGGGAATGTCTCCCAAACATGGTCTGGGTTCAGAAAGACAGTTAGTGCATCTGACCCACTCCCCACTGGAGTGGGACTTTTCACGTCTTCCCACTTCTGCCCTGACACTTTACTGAAGGATCTTTGGCCTGAGGCTGCTGACAGTTGGGCACCTGTTGCCCTGGTCAGCACACTGCACCTGGCCTTTCATACAAACAAGAGCCTTTCCCCCAGAAGCAGGGAACAGAGCCATAAAGGTCTCTGGAGCCTCCCCACATCAGCTCTTCTTAAATATTCCCGCCCAGAAAAGCCAAAAGTTCAGAGAGGCATGTTAGGTGCCTTCCTCCCATGTCCCTGCAGGCTTCACCAAGAGAGAATCCAAAGCCACCCAGCGGAGCATCCATTCCAGGGGGTGGCCGTGCTTACCCACAGAGACCAGGTTCTCATAGTTCTCCAGCATCACGTCCCTGTACAGGTCCCTCTGGGCCGGGCTCAGGCGTCTCCACTCCTCCCGGGTGAAGTCCACGGCCACGTCCCTGAACATCAGTGCCGCCTGCAACAGCAAACACATCCCTGCTCAGCCTGCGGTCATACTGCATGTAGACCATGGAGAAAACATGGAGTTACCAGAATTTATAAGGCGTTCTTTTAGAAGGGGCAGCTAGATGGTATAGTGGGTAGAGCACCTGGCCTAGAGTCAGGAAGATTCCTCTTCCTGAGTTCAAATCTCACCTCAGTCCCTTATTAGCTGTGTGACCCTGAGCAAGCCACTTCACCCTGTTTGCCTCAGTCTCTTCATCTGCAAAATGAGCTAGAGGAGGAAATGGCAAACCACTCCAGTATCTTTGCCAAGAAAACCCCAAATGAGGTCATGAAGAGTCAGACATGACTGAAAAATGGCTAACCCACAACACACATAAGGAGTTCTCAATGCATTGACAGTTTGGGCTATTTCACATCCAGTACTGACCACCACCTCCTCAGTTCATGCCACACTTAGCCTCACATCGATAGCCTTTTTGTGACTCGAATTCACCCTACAAATTACCTCCAAACTGAGTCCCAAGGGAGGTATACACTACAAAGTACCACAGCACACAAAGAAAATCCACATACATCGACTGATGTGACCCAAGCTTGCACACCCAACTCTTTATCCCTTATTAGCAAGCCCGTTCTCCATTACTGACCCCACTGCTCTGGGGGAGACAGTCTGAGAGAGGCCAGATCCCAAGAGTAACATAATGAAGTACAACACGTTCTCCCATCTCCAAGCACTCAGGCCCCTCAGCTTTTTCTCCCAAACCACAGCTCATTTCAGACAGTGAAGACTCGGTTACCACTCCCTTACTATCACACATATTTACCCAACACTTCACTGTGTGCAGATGAGCACAGTGCTGGGTGCCGGGGGACCTACAGAGCCTCACAGAGCTCACAATCTAATGAGGGATTGGGGAGAGGTGCATTTAGTAAGCCCCTCACTACACCCGGCACAGAGGTAAGTGAGGGGGGGATACAAAGTTCACGAATCATGAGGCTCAGGTCCTGGCAAGTCCTCCCGGTGGGCAGAGCTGCCAACTCAGTGACTGGCACATTAGGGAGGCCTAAGGGATGGGCCCAGTAAGAGCTGCATCTCTGCTGACTTCTGGAAGGTGGCCGAGGGTCCTGCCCAAGTTGTCTGGGGCTTGAAGGGAACAGGACTGGATAACTAAAGGCTCTCTCTTTTGGGGTCAGAATCAGTAGAGGAATTTTGCTGATGCCTCCTTCTGCATTCAGTTGTGAGGCATAGCAGCAGTCATGAAAGACATCCTCCATTCTCTGAAGAATCACTACGATGCTGGCTTTAGGGGAACAGCTGGGAAAGGCATTCATTGAGTCCAGGAGTCATACATCCTAACAAATGGCCGATCACCAAAATGCAGAAGCAAATCACAAAGGCCAATCAGGGATGGAAAGAAAGTTAGGAAACAACTTAGAGAGCTGTAGAGGTGCAACTGAAAATTAATTAAAATGATTAATAACTTCAGCCAAGTAGCAAGTTAGAAAATAAACCCACAAAAGTCATCAGCATTTCTGTATACTATTAACAAAACCTAGCAGGAAGAGATAGAAAAAGAAAATCCAGGGGGCAGCTAGGTGGTGCAGTGGATACAGCACCGGCCCTGGAGTCAGGAGGACCGGAGTTTAAATCCTACCTCCGATACATAACGCTTACTAGCTGTGTGACCCTGGGCAAGTCACTTATCCCCAACTGTCTCACAAAAAAAGAATCCATTTAAAATAGCTACAAAGTATATCAAGTATCTGGGATCCCACCTACCAAGACACAGACAGAAGTTATAATGAATATAACTACAAGATACTCTTCACAGAAAAAAAGGAAGACGAATAATCGTAGGAAAAAATTAATTCTTTCTGGATGGATACCAATATAATTAAAATGATGAAACTATCAATTAAATTACAGATTTACTATCACTTACTATGAAACCACTAAGGAGTTGCTCGAACTAGACAACACATTAACAAAATTCATTTGAAGGAACAAGAGGCCCCCCCCTCAAAAAATCAAGGCAAACAATGGAAAAAATATTTAGGGGATTAGTCTGTTAAAAACCAAAGCTACTCAGCTCTGGCTTGCTTCCCTTTCTATCTCGAGATCATAGCTCAGCTCCCTAAATCTAAGATCAATGATTCATTTCCTGTTTGCACATTCAAAGACGTAACTTGTGCTTTGCCCACCGAAGCTGGGTGAAATCCTGCCGAGGGAAGCAAACACAAGCCACGGGCTCGAGGTCACACACGTTCCCAAGGTCTCGGGCCTCTGGCCGGGTCAGCCCCGACTACTGAGCACCTTGGTAGGCTGGACCCAGCGACTCCGACTGTGAGAAATGCTTGATCTCTTGATCATTCTGAGATGGGGAGGAAGTGAGCAGGGGACTGCCCCTGAGATTTCCTCAGGGTGGAGAAACTCCCTTACCACAGGCTAGATTGCAGTTCCAGTGAGAAAGGTCTGGGGCCTTTAGTGGACCCAGCAAGCTCACTGGGCCTGCCAGAAGACCACTGACAAGAGGAACCTGGGCTGCATAAGAGAGGAGTTGTGTCTACACTCCTACTGGAGTGGCAACCACTCCACTCCACTAACTTTGCCAAGAAAACCCCAAATGGGCTCATGGAGCTGCTCTATATTTCCTGTCTCGAGAGCTGCCTGGGGGTCTCTAGGCCAGTATGGCCAGAGTGGGACATCTTCCACCCAGGTCTTCCTCACTTAGAGGCCTGCTGTCTGGCCATCCCAGCATACCAGCTCTTATCTGAATCCTATCTGGGAAGACTATATGTGTTTGAAACTCATTTTTCAGCAAAGTGAGAACTAGCTCAATCACATTACTACTTTGGATGAGGACTTAACTTTAGCATCTTTTAATAAAGAGAAAAGAAAAATACACAGAAGGCTGACAAACAAGGTCAAAATGCATGAGGGAGAGAGGATATTCCATCTACAGATGTGACCAGAGAAAGAAGCAGAGACTTTAATCTACAAGTAACTCTCAGTCACAGACACAAAATTAATTAAAGAATGGGAACAGAATAATATTCCCTGCTTGAGCCACCAGCAATCTCCTCATGGCCCAATCTGCTGGCCTGTCCCCAGCCTCCCTGGGGGCTCTCTTGGCTCTCCTCCCTGTCTGACTGCTCTTTCTCAGCTGCCTCTACCACAGCATCGCCTGCACCCAAGGGCCTGCCTGCCCTTGGCCTTCTTCTCTTCTCTTTCTCCAGTCTCTCACTTGGTGACCTCCCATGCATTCCACTCCCATTTCTACGCAGCTCACCACCTTTTGCCTGGTGATGCCTTTCGGACGACCAGAGTGACATCCGGCTCATTTATCTTCCCCCTAAACCCTCCCCATCTCCGCTGACCTCAATCATCCAGGCTCCCAACCCTCTGCCCCATCCCATGCCCAAGCAGCTGAGAAATCCTGCCATAACCCCCTCCACGCCATCTCTCATCAGGCCCTTCTAACTTCAATCTTCCCCTCTAGGGCCCTCCCCCTTGGCTCCTGGTTCTGCCTTCAGGGGCCAACAAGAACATTCTCATGCCTCCTTCATGTGATGGCCCATCAGATCTTGAAAACAGTGACCCTGGGCCCCTACACCTCTACGTTGTTGTTCAGTTCTTTTTCAATCTTGCCCAATTCTCTGTGACCCCGTTTGGGGTTTTCTCGGCAAAGTTAGTGGAGTGGGTGCCACTCCAGTAGGAGTGTAGACACAAATCCTCTCTTATGCAGCCCAAGTTCCTCTTACCAGTGGCCTTTTCTGGCAGGGATGGTGAGCTTGCTGGGGTCCATTACAGGCCCCAGGTCTTTCTCAATGGAACTGCAATCTAGGCAAGTCACCTTCACCATGGGATGTGTGGGATTTCCCATTTCTCCCTCAGCTTCACAGCATTCTCTCTGGCCCAGCTTCTAGGCCTGTCCCTCTCTGCGTAGACCCTTCACGCAATCTAAATGATCAGCAGCGATCTTGGCTGCCTGGAGGCCTAGGCTCTCTGAGGAATGAGTCCACCCAGGGCCCACTCTCGAAGGCCTCTGAAATCCTTGAGACCTGAGATGACACAAGGGTTCTGGCCTGGATGACTTATCAATAGTCTAGCACCATGAGAAAAATCCAGTGTTCTGGGGAGGAGTGAGACTGAGATCCCTAGATGGAACCAGGGTGGGCAAAGAAGAGCAAAGTTCAAGTCAACAAGTCAATCTATACTTGGAATGAAGAAATCTTAACTCACCTGAGGCATGGCTGAAAGGAGCCCTGAAGTCATTGTTGCCTCTTTGAGGATCCTTTGAGGGGGAGAAGGCAGAGCTATAGGAGGAAAAAGAAGCCATGAGGGCAATGAAACCTGCCCCACAGAACTCAAACCCACTAGGACAGAAGGGGGGAGGGTGTCAAACACCTGTCCATCACCCCCCCACCCCACTCCCTACCAGTAAGAGGTCAAATCAAAGCCAGACCAGCCCTGAATCCTTCCAGAGTCTGAGAAGAGCCAAAGATCCCCAGAGTGGAGGGCCCAAGCCTGCCCAGGGCTGGCAAGCAATTCCAGGTGGCTGAACTCTGGGCCCGGAACGAGGGTCCAAGGCAGAGCCCTGAGCTGGGGGGTGGGGCATGACAGGGTTGAACCCTTCTCCACTGTTCAGATCTGTTTCCTTCCTAGGGCTCAGGACAGGGGATGTCCAGCCGGCAGATAACAACTGCCTGTGCTTCCTCCCCTCCCACTATCTGCAGTCCAACCTCCAACCTCATCACCCCCCCAAACTGCCCTCATTCTCTCCATGCTCCTCCCCTTCCTGGGCCGGTTCACCTTCTAACCTTGGGCCCCTCAGGGCTTGGTCCTGGCCCTCTTCCCTTCTCCCTCTATCCAACTTCACTGGATGATCACATCAATGACCATCTCTATGCTGACGATCTCAAATCCACCTAGCCAGCCAGACCTCTCCACTGACCTCCAATCTCCCAGCTCCAACTGCCCTTCAGACATCTTGAACTGGACGTCCAGCAGACATCTGAAACTCAACATGTTCAAACAGAACCTGTTATCTTTTCCCCTAAACCCTCCCCACCCCCTTTTACTGTAGAGGGAACCCCCCAGCCTCCCACCTAGGAGTCCTCCTGGATTCCTCACTCTCTCTCACTGCTCCCCACCCCCATATCCAATATGGTGTCAAGACCCATCAATCCTTCCCATTACCTCTGAATTCGCCCCCTCCTCTCCTCTCCTCTGCCGCCACCCCCGCCCCGCCGGTGCAGGCCCTCATTACCTAGGCCTGGTCTATGGCAATAGCTGCACAGGGTCTCCCTGCCTCCAGTCTTTCCCCACTCCAATTCATCCTCCATTCAGCCATAAAAGTGATGTCACGCCCCACTCAACAGAGTGCAGCGGCTCCCTATTGCCTCCCAGATCAAACACACAATGGTCTGCTTGGCAATCAAAACCCTTTGCAGCCCGGCCCCAGTCCCCTCCCCCTCTTCTGGTCCTCGCATGCCCAAGACATACTCTCTGGTCAGTGACACTGGCCTCCCGGCCTCCCCAGCTCCTCTAAAACACGACTCTTCATCTCCCGCCCCCGAGCACCTTCCCCAGCTGAGCCCCACGCCTGGAATATTCTCCCTCGCCTTGGCCTGCTGGCTGCATTCACATTCCAGCTAAAATCCCAGCCACAGAGAGCCACCTCCCTCGACCCTCCCTTGTGCCAGTGGCTTCCCTCGGGGCATCTCCGATTTCTCCGGTGTCTTTCTCACCCAGCCCCAGCTCTCTGCGCCATGTTTGTGCTTTTCTTTGTAGCTCCTAATGGTTAGCACAGCACGTGGCACCGAGTACACACTGAATGGACATGGTAAAGGACCTGGCCAACATCGCTGCTGAGCGGCCCAGCAATAACAGGAGACCCTGGCTCATCGGCAGGGGGCATATCAGGGTCTCCACTACAGTGGCTGACCTCTCTGGGAGGGGGTTATCTGGGCCATGACTAACAGAGCAGACAAAGTAATGGGGGACAAGAGAGCTTCACAGAGAGTGATGCTATCGGGGAGGCAGCTGAGCCCACAGGGAAGATCCGAAGTCAGGAGACCCAGCTAGACTCCTACCAGCCTCCAATCTGGCTGTGAGATCTGGCTGCTCTGAGACTCAGTTTCTCTATCTGTAAAATGAAAAAGCCCTACCTGCATGACGGGCGAGAAAGTGAGGCCAGGAGAGAAGGCCAGAAGCTGCTGGCAGAGAATGGTTGTCCCATGGGGCTCCTGAGGGACCAGACATCTGCGTAGGGACCACTGTCCTCACTGACGCCCGCCCACCCACCCGAAGCAGAGGATACAGGAGAGGAAAAACTGATGTGGGAATAAACGGCTGGCTGAGAAAGGGGTGTGGGGACCTGACCCGGCTTTCTGGATCATGGCATACAATAAAGGCCGGGGCTCCTGAGTAGGCCTGGGGGACTCCTTCCGGGGGAGGTGAGCTGGCAGCCTGTAGTCCCAGGGCAGCCAGGTGGCTCTGTGGGTACAGCACAAGTTCAAATCTGGCCTCTGATTCCTATTCGATGTGTGAGCCTGGGCAAGTCACACCTTTTGCCTCGGTTTCTCCATCTCTACAGTGGGGATAACAACACCTACCTTTCAGGGTTGCTGTGAGATAAGACTTGTAAAGCTTTGCAAACCTTTAAACACTATGCAAATGCTAGCTACTACTACTTTTTCAGGCTCACGTACCTAAATTGTGCCCAATGGGAGGACGCTTCACATACCATCTTGTCCAAGTGCAGCCCAGCCACTTACCCAAGGGGCCTGGACAAGGCAGGGATCTTCACGCTCGCTGGATGGTGCACAAACATCTCTCTACATTCCCTCTAAGTCTGGATTCTGTATACGGACCCATTCAAAGAGCCCACCCATCAACATTTCAAATGAATATGGATTTTTTTCTTCTCTCAAGTGAATCGATCACTCTCCCCTTGGGAATGCGGGAGAGGAGATGGTAGGAATATCTGGAATATTATTTCCATTAAGAAAAATGCTCCACAAAGCCACAGACAGAGCTGTGTCAGATGCTCCAGATACCAGTGCCTCGGTTGCCTAGAAACAGCCTTCCTGAGCCCTCCCACAGGAGCCAGGGACGCTGGAGCAGGGCTTCTCAGCCTTCCTTCGCATGGTTACTGAATTAGTAAAGCAAATGGGGGGGAGGGGGAGAGGAAGGAAAAGAGGAAGGGGGGAAGGAAGGAGAGAGGGTGAGAAAGAGAGGGAAGGAGGGAAAGAGATGGGGAGGGGGAAGGAGGAGAGAGGAAGAGAGAGAGAAGGGGAAGGAGTGAGAAGGAGATACAGAGGTGGGGAGGAGAGAGGGAGAGAGCCCCGCATTACTGCCTCTTGTCAACACCACCAACGCAGTCTGCGTCCTACACAGTGGGAGGGCGCATTCTGGTCTAATGGTGTCTTCTCTGGGCCACGAAAGGACAGTCATACACTCCGTTTGGCCTCTACAGCCCTTCCAACTATTCTGGAGGCTCGGCTTACCTGGCTCCTCCCCAGGGGCTCTAGGACCCAACTCTCGGGCCTCCAGGCTGCTTCTCCAGTCCGTGACGTGACTGTCCCATGCTGGGAAGGTTCTCTGTCCTGAATCAGTCAACAAACATTTATTATGCACCCACTGTGTGCCAGGCACTGTGCTCAGCACAAGGGTCCAAGTACAGTGGTCGCACCATCTTTTTCTCCCATTGCACTGTGAGCTCGAGGGCAGGGAACATGTTTTGCCTTTTCTCTGTGGCCACAGCATGTGGCATGGTGCCGAGCACAAGTAGGTACTTAATAAATGCTTATTAACTGATGGAAAATGATGCCAATCAGGTACTACAATAACAAAGTCATGTTGCAATGGAAAGAATCTGGACAGAAGATCAGAAGAACTGGGTTCAAGCTCTGTGTGACCTTGGATAAGTCCCATCTGCTGTTGGAGCCTCGGTGTCCTTGCCTGTAAAATGACAGGCTTGGCTTCGGTCTCCGAGCTCCTGGAAGGAAATCAAGAGCCGGCACCATGCTTTCCACCAGCTGGAGGACTAAGTTCAGATGCCCAGACCCCCTGACGGGGGAAAACATGGGACCGACAGAAAGAGTGGAGGCCAGCGGAGACAGGGTCAGAGACACGAGGGAGACCACAGACACCGTCAGATGAGAAAGAGGGCTGGCCAGAGGCAACCCGAGACAGGCGCTCCAGATGAGGAAATGAGGTGGATCAGACAGGACCCTCGCCCACTGACCGTGAGCCTGGTGGGTGGCCCAATGGACTAAGGCCACCTGCAGAAACACGCCACCCCCCCCCACACCAAGCCCTCTTCTGCCATCAGAACGTGAGCGTCCCAAGGGCAGAGACAGCATCACTGACAACAGGCAGTAAGTGCTTCCTACAATCCTTTCTCTATCCACAGGGCAGAAAAAGCAGGGGCCTTTTATCAGGAAGACGCAGGTTACACACTGAATCCCCACAATAACCCCAAAGGGCAGATGAGGAAACCGAGGCAGGCAGCAATGAAGTGACCTGCCCAAAGTCACAGCTACTAAGTGTCTGAGGCCAATTTGAACTCAGGTCTTCCTGATCTCCAGCCCAAACAACGTTCTGTCCACTGACCCTTCTGGCTGCCTCCTGCAGGGGAGGGGGTGGCGTGCATGGCCCCCTGCTGGTCTCCATTTATCCAAATCCTCTGTGCCTGAGAGAGTTAGGAAGAGATGGAGAGAAACAGAGAGGGGAGAGGATAAGAGAAGAGAGAGATGGGGACAGAGAGGAGAGACAGAGAGATGGAGAGGAGTGAAAGGAGAGAGAGAGACAGATGAGAGGAAGGAGAGACAGAGGGAGAGAGGAGAAACTGAGATATGGAGAGGAGAGAAAGGAGAGATGGAGAGAAACAGAGAGGAGAGAGGATAAGAGAGAGACGGGGACAGTGAGGAGAGAGAGAGATAGAGAGGAGTGAAAGGAGAGATAGACGGATGAGAGGGAGGAGAGACAGAGGAAGAGAGGAGAAACTGAGATATGGAGAGGAGAGAAAGGAGAGATGGAGAGAAACAGAGAGGAGAGAGGATAAGAAAGAGATGGGGACAGTGAGGAGAGATAGAGAGGAATGAAAGGAGAGATGGATGGATGAGAGGGAGGAGACAGAGGAAGAGAGGAGAAACTGAGAGATAGAGAGGAGAGATGGAGAGAAACAGAGAGGGGAGAGGATAAGAGAAGAGATGGGGACAGAGAAGAGAGAGAGATGGAAGAGGAGAGAAAGGAGAGATAGAGAGAGAGGGAGAGAGAGACAGAGGGAGAGAGAAGAGAAACTGAGAGGGAAGGAGAGAGGATAGGGAGACGGGCACAGAGAAGAGAGAGAGATGGAAAGGAGAGATGGAGAGAGAGGGAGAGGAGAGACAGAGGGAGAGAGAGGAGAAACTCAGAGATAGAGAGGAGAGAAAGGAGAGATGGAGAGAAACAGAGAGGGGAGAGGATAAGAGAAGAGATGGGGACAGAGAAGAGAGAGAGATGGAGAGGAGAGAAAGGAGAGATAGAGAGGGAGAGGAGAGACAGAGGGAGAGAGAGGAGAAACTGAGAGGGAAGGAGAGAGGATAGGGAGACGGGCACAGAGAAGAGAGAGAGATGGAGAGGAGAGAAAGGAGAGATGGAGAGAGAGGGAGAGGAAAGACAGAGGGAGAGAGAGAGAAAGGAGAGATGGAGAGAGATGAGAGGGAGGAGAGACAGACGACAGAGTGAGCCTGGGCCGCACAGATGGGTCCTGGCTGTGACGTCACAGGGTCCTGGCAAATCCACCAAAGGCCGAGGGTGGGGATGCGTCAGAGAAAGGCTGCTCCTAGTGAGGGGCCCAGACGCCTGAACCCCACCTTACAATGCAGGGCCTCCTCCTCACACGCACTTCCAATAGCCCAGCAAGGCTTGCCTTTCCTGATCCTCCCAGTGTGGGCAGGTGCCGGCTCAGAGGCCGTCTAAATGGGGGGCATGGCCAACCACCGGGGGGGGGGGGAGCGGTAGGCCACCTCTGATGCCCCAGGCTGGGAAGCTGCGACATGCCCCAGTGGAGGGCCTGGGCTCGCCCGGTAGCTGCCTGAACCAATGAAGTCAGAGGCACAGCGGGACACCATAAACGTCCTCCGTGTCTCTTCCAACCCCCAGGCCTGGGACGGGGCACAGGGGGCTCAGAAGCCCCCGGGTCTGAGACCACTGGGCATCGTCAATAGGACTGGGAGAGGGCGAGGATGACCCCGAGACGGGGGTCCAGCGGGCCTGGGGGGGACCCTGCGGTCCTGAAGGGGGGGGTCCTGGGGAGGGAGAGGGGCTCTGCGGTCCTGGGGGGGCATCACCCATCTTTGGGGGCGCCAGGCCTGGAGTCTGAAGACCTGGGTTCAAATGCCTACATAGCAGGCATCAGGGAAGGCACTTGGCCACTGCCTGACTCAGTTTCCTCATCTGCAGAATGGGAGTGCCGGCAGCCCGGGCCCGCAGGGGCGCTCCGGTCACCCTGTGTCCGTCTCTCCCACCTCCGTCACACTCACGCGCACACCCCACCCCCGGGCGCCCCACTGCAACCACCGCTCCGTCTCTACCGAGGCCGCGAGGGGGCGGCAGAGGCGGGAAACCCCGAGTTCGAATCCTTCCCCACGCGCTGCGGAGCCGGCGGAGTGACCCAGGACGAGTGCCCTCCCCGGGGGCTCGGCGCCCCCCGCCCCGCCGCACTCACCCACGCACCGGCTCCCTAGCTCTCCCGCCACCCTACAGGCCGCCAGCAGCACGGCGTCCGGCCCCCGGCCGCGCCTGCGCACACCGGCCCCGCCCCGCCCCGGCCGCGCCTGCGCACGCGGCCCCGCCCGGTCCCTGCCGCAGCCCCTCCCGGCCCGGCCCGGCCCGGCCCGACCCCAGCCCCAGCCGCAGCCTCGCACACGAAGCGCGCCCCTCCCCCAGCCCCACTCCTCCCACTGCCCCGCGCGCGTGCGGGCACGCGCACCCTCCACACATGCGCCCTCGGTCCCTACCGGGCGCGGGCGCTCACCTCAGCCGGAGGCGGCCCTCGGGCCCGGCTTCCTGAACCAGCCTCCCTCGGAACTCGGACCCAGTCCCCGCCGCCGTTGCGGGGACGCCACCAAGAACAAAGGGGCCGACTACCCTCTCCGCACCTACTGCGCCTGCGCGCCCCGACTCGGGAACTACGCTTCCCACAGTGCACCGGGCCCTGCGGCAACGGGGAGAGGGGAGTGCGGAGGATGCACGGCCGAGACGCGATGACGGAACGACGGAGGCCGTGGGGATTCTGGGAAATGAAGTCCGTATGAGTGAATGCGGATTTCTGAGAGCCCAGAGCACCCACGTGTGCTGTGCTGAGCCTCTGAGGGCATCGGGGCTGCCCTCTCCCTCCCCGACCAGGCTGCGGCCGGCGCGGACCGGCCCTTCACCCAGGCTGGGCGAGCCTCATTGTCTTCATTTTCTCCACGGGAGTAATAGTGATACCAGTGGTGCCCCCGGGAGCTGTGGGCCCCGGGGGAGGGGAGCCCTGGAACCTGCGGGTCACCAAAAAGCCCCTCGTGGGTGGTTCTCAGCCCGTGCAGCTGAAGGGCCGCTCCTGCGTCTACACCTGCCCCGCACCGGTGCGTCCCCTGGTCCTCATGTCCACACCTGCCTTGCAGACAGGGGCCCCATTATCTGGCCCTCACTTCTACACCTGCTCTGGCCCGTCCTTTGAGTCCTCACCTCCACAGGTCTGCACCTGCCCTGCAGACAGGGGCCCCCATCATCTAGTCCTCACTTCCACACCTGCTCTGCATAGACGGGTTAGAACAGGGACTGGAGCTCCTCCTTCCTGACTTTCAGGCCAGCTCCCCAAGCTGCCATGTTCATGATGTTGTTTAATTAGAGCGACTAATGAGTATTGGCTAACTGGACAAGACAACAAGCATTTATTGGGCACCTGCTGTGTACCGGTCACTGTGTTAAATTCTGGAGATACAAAGCAAGGTTTAGAGGAGCTCCACAACATGCAATTGGCTACGGACCAAGGAGTACATACAAGATCAATGGAAAATAATCAGTTGAGAGAAAAGATTTTACATGGAAAATGAAAGCAGCCAGATAGCAGAGGCCTCAGTTTTCTCACCTGTAAAATGAAGAAATGGAACTATATGACAATCAGTCAATCAACCAGCGTTTACTAAGCTTATGTCGTTACTATAATAAGATGCAAGTTTGAGCATTACAGTACAGGGATGATGTCCTGCTAAGGGGGAAATGACTGGAGGAAGTAATAAGGCGAAGGTGTGATATGTAAAAGTTTTCTAGCTAAATGGAATAGTACATTTTGAGAAGCGCAACAGGATTAGTCCTTTCTCTAAGAACTATGTACAGATGTATATGATTGGCTTCCAAATGTATCTATCATGGAAATTTAGGCTTTGAGTATGTTTTAGAAATACATTCTCAAAATTGGAGTAAGGATTTTACACATAAGTTATATTGATAAGGGTAAAGAAAGTAAAAGTATTTTCCCATTTTAAAAATATCTGATAATTTTAGAAGTCAGAAGAGTTCATTTTACAGTTGGACCCTCATGAATATTTTTTTAAAAAGATTCTTATATCAGATACAGGTTTTAGGTAAGGATAGAAATAACAAATGGTATAGAAACTTAACATTTTCTGAAGGTTCAAATTTGGAGAACCCAATTTAAGTGACTGTGCTAAATTATATCATCAGAATTATCTAGGAACCTCTAGATTTGGAATCAGAGAAGCAGAACTCCCTTTGGAGATGTCCACAGAATAAAGCCTGTTGTCCAAGAAAAGATATGTAGGGACCAGATGATTACATGAGACATCTGGGACTCAAAATGTGCTGATTAAATAAATATTGAGAATGGGTCACTCAGATACAAGGAGCCTTGATGTGAGTTAGTATTGGTGATAATTGTATCACTTTGCATAGTTTAAGTTTTCTTGGTTACTTTGATGACATGTAAATCTGCCTTCTCAAAGCTAGTCCATTATGAGCCCTCTGAATAGTCTGATCTACAACCTGACATTAATGTAACATGAC